ATAAACGATTCAATATCAAATCAGTCCTCTGGAATTTTTCTTTTCCATATCAAATTACACGATGTTTAGTTACTATGCTCCTTTTAGTTCTCTGTCGTGAATTATCGAGTGCTTTTTGCTATCCTTTCATCAAAAACATGTAGTATGACGAGTATTATATTAAGATACACTTAGCCAACAAGATTTGTAATCCTCCCAACATAAAAGTTATCACTTCGAATCTTCCAATCTTTGACATATTTTAGTATTTTTCATATATCTTTAAGTATAACAGTGTTTACCAGGGAGAAATAAAAAAAAAATTATCAAATAACAAAAATTAAATAAAAGTTTGCACAATACATCTTGTTTTAATTCCCTATTATTCTAGAGTATCTTGAGGTGTTCCAGTACTTTGGTCAGGGCAGGGAGGGACGTATTTCAACGAAGCAACTAAGACGGGCCATGCAGATGATGGGACTGAACCCAACAGATTTTCAAATACAAGCAATTGTCAATGAAGTAGAATATGATGGTCAGTAAATTACCTCTTAGCCACTATCGCTATGCACGTCTCCCTGTGGTACCTTTCTACATATACGTATTTATCAAAATAGTTAAGGGAACGCGATGTTATATTTAATGGTCATCGGAGTGCGTCTCGATTGAGTCTCAAAAAACGAAAACCTATACGATCACAGTTGCAAGATTCAATCAGATGGCAGCTAGGAACATCATAAGAAGCCAATAAGAGCTCAAAGTAAAAACAAGAAAACTGCTTAATGCGCAGGAAAACTCCAGAAGTCAAGTTCAGATTTGCTTTAGTTTTGAATCTGATTACTTGTGCAGAAGGATAGCGCTAGTTTATTGGACTAACGGCAGGCACCTCTCTAACTGGAGTGATTTAAGTCACTCGGCCATATTATTCCTTCATCCGCTCATGTGAACCTTCTCAAAGAGATTGCTAAATTTGATTTGGATGGTGATGTTATTCTCGGGATAACGTAAAATAAGACAGACTAAAAAAAAACTTTGGCATCTAGAGTGCAGGTTATCTAGAGGGTTTTTTCACAGCTTAAGTTATCTTAAGACCTATGAAAACGTCAAACTTTAATCTTTATCACTGCAAGAGTATTTTCTTGTAATCAGCAACTGCACGTGTTTTTTTTTTTTTTTGGCAGGGGACGGGTACATCACGTTTTCAGATTTCATTAAAACCATGGAAGAGTATAAGAAACCAGACGATAAAGTAGACCTTATGATGGCATTCAAGGTGTTTGACCATGACGACAAAGGTTACATTGAGACGAAAGAGATAAAGAAAGCGTTCATGAGATTAAAAGGAATTACGAAAGAAGAACTTGAGGAACTTCTGGAGACTGCAGATCTTGAAAATCATAGACACATATACTTTGATGGTAAGATGCGCCGGCTTAGCCTTTGATTATTTTTAAAGAGACTCAGATAATTCTATAATCGTAGCAAGATATAAATGATACTAGACGTCTAACGATCAAAAACAACGACGACTCAACTTAAAAAATTCATTAAAATGCACTAATTCTTGGAGCGTTCTATTACTAAATCTCAAGCAATCATTTAGCTTTCTTTTACGTCTTTGAGGTCACTCAGGCATTTTCGAACTTTAGACATTTTTTTGCGAGAAATCTAGTTTAAGAGCCACTGACCGTAAATATCGAGAATCCGCCGACAGTTGCAAAATTTCGTAATTCGTTTTATTTTTTCTAAAGGACCCTTTTAATAAGCCTTTTCCGAAAATTATATCAAAAAGTTCTATCCCGCTTTTTTTTCTCCGAAAAATCGAAAGGTTGAAAATACGTGTCTAAATGGCCGTTGTCTCCCCCCCC